TCTAGCAGGTGTCAGCAAACTTTTTCTATAAAGGGCCGACCCATAAGTGTTTTAGACTTGCAAATAGGTCACGCTCACATGGTGTCTGTTAAAACTAAGCAACCACCACTGGTCTGCAAACAGACAATACACAGATGAGTGAACGTTGGATGTTTATTCCAATAAAACTTTACGAAACTGGGCCATGATGGTCTGGGGCAAGGCGCCCGTCTGGTTGAATTTGCCCTGTTGTGGGTGCAGCCCTGACCTCAGGTAAATTCCCAGGAGAAGTTTTTCCAGGGTTTTGAATTCACAGTAACGGATGTGAACATTCTAGCAGCAGCTTGATGATCATGCATGACTTTAAAAAAAAAACCAAAAAACAAAAAACGAAAAACCAGGCAGTGGATGGCTTTGGCGCTGGGCTGTGCGGGCTGCCAGCCACTGACCTAGAAACCAAAGTCCCGATCATCTTCTCCTACGACTAAAATAAGTTGCCCATTTTCCCCTCCTTTGCAGAGAAGAATAAAAAGTATTTAATGACAGATGTCTCCCCCAAAAGATCACGTGGCCTCTCAACACCACAACTGCTCTTTGCAGCAGCTACCTGTGGAGTATGCTCCGGTCACCTTCCACGCTGTGACCACGTTCCTGCCTCAGGACCTTTGCACTCGCTGAGAAGAGCTGCTCCCAGGCCCCCGCACGCCTGCCTCCTCTCTGACCCTCCATTCTTGAGCAGGGGGCTTTCCCTGGCCAGTCTAGCCAGGTAACCCCCGCCCGTCCATGCTCCACTGCATTACCAGTTTTACTTCCTTGGGGTGAAAAGCTCTGTCTTTAGGACATTTACTTCCTCGGGCATTTGCATGCAGCCTCTTTTCCACAGCGAGAAGTGAGCACCTCAGGCCCAGGCACTTCCTGTGTCTCGATCATTAGCGTCCCCCTGGAACCCCGTGGACACGCTGTTAGCTGTCCTGTTGGGGATTAAGGCCCTCTCACGGGCCTGTGCAAACACATTACTCTCCCGGAAGCCCTGTGACCAAGTGTCTCACCTTTAGACCCGTGCCCCGTTCATTCTCTCTTCCTACGACGACTTCCCGAGCACCCAAGGTGGGCCAGGGCCGTTCCATACCACCAGGCACACTAGCGCACACCCTCGGAGCCCTGCCCTGGAGGGGCTTACACTCTGGCAGGGAAGGCGCGGGAGGCGGTGAGCAATAAACACAACAGACCAGGACACTGGAGAGAATGTTAGAAAGCCACCAGGGCTGTGGGAAAACTGAACAGCACAGCAGATGATGTCTGAACAAAGACTCCAGGGCAAAGGGGCAGCTGGCCACGCGGCTCCCGGGGGGGAGGGGGGTGAATAATCAGGTGGTCTCCGTACAGAAAGGCCAATACAGCCCCCGGGGCGACAGCACGCCCGGCAGGTACAGGAAACAGGGAGGAGGCCAGCGTGGTTCGAGCAGAGAGGAGGAGGGGGGGAGAGGAACGGCGGGGGGACCCGAGCATGTTGGACTTCCCAGGACATCCCCCTGCAGGGGGTTTTGGATGTACTCTGAGTGACATGGGGAGATGGTGGTGGTTTGGACAGAGGAGCGCCGTGATGGGCTGCCCAGTGGGAAACAGACAGAACAGAGGGGAAGAGGGTGGACCAGGGGGATCTAGTTAGGGGACTAATGACCCAGGCTGAGGTGGGGGGGACGAGGCCTCGGTGGCGGGGGGAGGCAATGAGCGGTCGGACCCCGGATCAGTCTGGAATGGAGAGTCACCAGGACTCGCTGCCCTTGGATGGGGTGGGGGCCCAGAGCGGGGAATCCGGGAGCTGAAGGCGGCTGTAGGGCGCCTGAGCCCAGGGAGGAGACGTGCAGGCGCCCTCGAGCGAGTGGGGGAGCGCTGGGCCGTGGAGACGCACGTTTCCAGTGGTGGGGCTCAGTTTCCGACGTTACGTGGCAGGTGTCCTGCAGACATCCAAGCGGAGATCTGTGGGCTCGGTCTGGAGTTCAGAAGGGAGGTCAGCGTGAAGGCACACATCCATCTGCCAGCCGTGGCCTTGGAGATGCAGGCCGGATGCGGAGCGGGGAGCAGCCCCACGGCCAAAGTGGGGTGGGGTCCAGGATGATGAGGACAGAGGGCAGGCGGCTGAGACGGTCAGTATGGGCGGGGGTCCCCGGCGCCTGCAGGAGCAGAGCTGGCGAGCCGGGGCGCAGGCAGCGAGAGGAGAGCAGCGGGAGGGAGGCAGTGAGGCCTCTCGTGAGAAGTGTTGCTGCAAAGGGAAGGAAAGCCGAGAGATGGTGGGGGCGGCGGGGCGCGTGAGCTCCAGAGCCATGTTTTCCTAATGATGGGCAACACCGTGGTGTGTCTGCACGCTGATGAGAGCGGTCCAGGAGAGAGCGAGGAGCTGGTGTTGGAGGAGAGGGAGCAGAACCTGGGGCGGGCAGGGTTCTGGGCCAGAGAGCGGGTGAGCCCCAGTGCCCAAGAGCAGGGCCTGGGTTTGCACAGGGGCATGGAGGAGGGGGGTGCAGGGCACAGAGACCCGGGGACGCGCTGGCAGGCGGCCGCTGGGGTGAGTCTGAGGGTGCCTTCTCCTGACTTCTTCCGTTTTCGCAGTGAGGGGCGGGACAGTCACCGAGGGCGGAACGGGGGGGTGTTGGGGACAGATGAAAAAAGACATTGTGCAAGAGCCACTCAGGAAAGTGGGAGAGCGAGCCCTCCAAGGGTCCACAGCCTGATGCTGCGGCACGAAGGGTCCAGCTGAGACCTCAGTGTCAAAGGTGAGACGACCCGCCCGATCAGTAATCACTCGGAAGGCATTCATTCAATTACTCATCTTTTCCTATCGACTTCTCCCAACGAGCACACATCCAGATACTTCCGGGGGACGTGATGAAACAAACGTCAATGTTTCAATCTCAGGAAGAGGACTTGCCCAGAGGCGAACATCACGGCAGTCACACTGACACGCTCTGTCAAGCTGGGAAATGTGATCCACAGCGGGGCAAAGCGGTGGGTGGGGCGCTGGGCAGTTTCACCCCAAGGCTATCTTGGAATCTGGAGTCTTCTCCATAACCTCCCATTTTGTCAGCCAAGTCCTTGGTTCCCTCACCCAGGGTGACGAGAAAGGGTAGGGAGAAAGGGTAGGGAGCCGGTGCATGGGAGCAGGGCCGGGGGTGATGAGAGAGCGCTCCCCAAATGGCACAGACTGGTGCGGAAACCGTAAGAGCCAACTTACCGACATCTAACAACAACCCTCCAAAGCCAAAGGGGATGGTGGACGAAGGCACCAGCCAAGGGGAGCGTGTGTGGTTGAAAAAGAAGAAAGACAATGAGCGCCCTGGCTGGTTTAGCTCAGTGGATTGAGCGCGGGCTGCGAACCAAAGCGTTGCAGGTTCGATTCCCAGTCAGGGCACATGCCTGGGTTGCAGGCCACGGCCCCCAGCAACCGCACATGGATGTTTCTCTCTCTCTCTCTCTTTCTCTTTCTCCCTCCCTTCCCTCTCTAAAAATAAACAAGTAAAAAAAATTTTTTTTAAAGAAGAAAGACAAGGAGTAGAGGTAATTCCATAAGGCAAGACCTTATTTTGGCTGAAACCATACGGAACCCCTTTTCATGTGGAAGACAATGTGTTACGACCAATGGGCAACATTTAAATCATCAACACGGAGCAGCTCCTTCTCGAGTCCCATCTTTGGTTCTAAGAGTCTCAAAATACTAACAAGGCCAGCGTGCACACGGGGCACTAGACACCCACCTGGATTCTACGAGGAACAAAAAGTATCTCATCGAGCAGTATCCTCAATGTGGGACTCACTCAGTGGAAGGCAAACTGGTCAGCTGTAGAACTGCCCCCTACGAACACTTAGGTGCTTGCTTACCAACCGCCACCAGCCCTGAAGAACCCGCATTCTTCGAGGACAGGAGACACCCCATCTGCAGATGCTCTTCAGGTGAAACAGAAATGCTTCCGCCCTAAGTCACTACATCTTTAACACGCCCTACGGCCAACTCCGCCCACCCAGCGGGCACTCGAGACTTCGCACGCCACCTCAAGTTCAAGCTTAGTCCTGCCAAAACCGTCAACGTTCTATAGGAAAAGCATGGATTTCTCAGTCATTTCAACATTGAAGCGGTATCGGGCCCAAAGTGCTTTTCAAACGCTGCCCGAGGGACCTCTCACACACTGCCGGCCGGAGCAGGCAGCCGCAGAAACATTCTGGAAGAATGTTTGACCCCATCCACTCTAACTACACACACACACAAAGCCTCTGACCCTCAGTTCCGCTCCTGGGGGTACACTGCAGCCCCGAATCGGAGACAAGCAACCGGCTAGTCCCCGGGAGACTAGACGGGAGAACGGATGGGCCGGGGCAGGCTCACAGACCGAAATCCCGAAACCAGCGGAAGAAACCAGCTCCCGCCACGGTCAGCAGCATGCAAGAATCTTGCAAGTGTCACGGAGCAGAGGGACACCAAAGACAACCGCCACCTAACAAGTGAGCGCATTTGCACAAGGTTCAGAAGCAGGTGGCGCGAAACCCAGGCTGTGAGAAGCCCGCAGAGCAGTCCGCCACCTTGGGGACGGACGGTGGTGAAGGGGAAGGGGTCGGGGGTCCTCCGAGGCCAGCGGTTTTCTGTCCCCTCACCTGGAGGCTGGTGACGGGAGTGCGCTCGCTCTGAAAATTCTGGAGCCACACACTCAGGATGTGTACCCTTCTCTCTACGGAAGTTATAGTTTAATAAAAAGGTTTCTGAATAAAAAATCAGCTGCTCCAAAATTGAGAAAGCATTCTTTAAAAAAAAAAAATGAGCTGAAAAGCAATCAGTTTGTTTTTATGTTTATTGTTTTGTGAAAATTACTTTTCCATACTAACAACAATCATTCCTATTGAACTATCATCTTACATGTACTGGAAGAAGAACCATCTAAAGGATTACACATGCCTACTATAAAATAAGAACATCAATTATCCTCACACCCATCGCGCAGGTAACGAACACGTAACCTTTCTCCACGGCAACTTACCTGAGTTGCTTTGCATAGCTGAGTTCGATCTCTGTCCTTTCCTTTACGAACTTGATGTATTTCTCAAGAATGTCGATGCCCCACTGTGTGTGTTTTTCTAAGTTGTCGAATTGATCCTGTTTAAAAAGAGAGAGAGAGAGAGAAAGAGCTTATTTTCTTTCTCTGTGATGAAGAGAATTTCAGTGGGCAGTTCTCTCAACAACACATTGCTACACAGAGAGCAGTTCTAATCTTTTCCATGATTATGCGCGGGTGCTTTTGTGAGGAGCAGCTGGAAGTCGACATTACCAAATTTGGTTGGGAAACTGCCTCGGGTTCTGAACGCTGACCCATCTGCCCATGCTCTCTATCCCCATTAGAAACATGTCTTCGGATATGATTAATGTCCCGGCACAAAGGAAAATCTCTGTATCAGATACTGGCAGCTGAGAGGTGAGACACCACCACCACCCCCCCTCCCCACGCACACACACTAACTCAGTCACACTGTTAGCACCTTAACTATTGTCTCTGAGTGATCACTCTAAACAGCTCATTGAAACGTGGGGCCAGGCTATGGGGTGGAAAGAATTACAAATGCTGCTTTCTTCAAACTGATACACAAAATAGCTCACATGGACTTGACTCACACAGGTCAAGCCCGTGGACAGGGTACAGCATTAGGAGCTGGGGAAACAGGATGAACAGAAATACAGCTCAGTTTGCATCGAGTGTGGGGGTTCCTGGTCTGCAAGAATGGAAAGGGTGGGGGGTGGCGCAGAATCCAGCCACAGCTACCGCAAAGGCAGGCAGACGCCCAGGGAGCAGGGGGCCTTGTCCTGCGGGAGCACAGGGTGGGTAGGGTGCGAGGGAGTGAGAGGAGGTGGGTGAGGGGACCGGACCCAGCCCCGGCCTGATCACCCAAGGCCTCGAATGCCGAGCTCAGGCTCGCCAGCTGGCACCAGTGAGCCGCTGAGGGGCTCGAGAGGCGGGTGGCACAGCCACACACGTGTTCGGAAGGACCGGAAGACTGAAGGCGGGGAACTATTCCAGTTCAAATGCGGGAAAATGCAGGCAGAGAGGGAAGGATTTTGCTGATCGAGGGACTGACTGGGAGAGGAGGCCGGGAAGGGATGAAGGAGAGGGAGGATTCCAGGGTGACCTCCTGCTTCTGCTTCCTGTGCTGACATAGAGGGAGGGGCAGTGGCTGGGGGAGAAGCGACAGTGGAGAAAGTTGGAAACGCAGCTCTGTGGGTTCAGAGCTCCAGGAGGGAGGCCAGGGAGCTGGTGGACGGGTGCAGCGGCCAAGGATGAGAAGGCCAAGGGCTGGGGCGGCTCGGCCCTGGGTCCATCCATGCAGGGGCCTGGCCCGGAGGGAGAGCCCCGCAGGGGTATCCGGGCAAAGAGAGGGCTGGTGCGACACCACGGGGAGGAGGGGATTGCAACGAGGCGAAGATGGGACGTTTGGTGACAGTGATGGTGGCGGGTGAGGGTTCTGCACCCAGCTCTGGGACTCCCCAGGGAAAGGCCACCGAACAGCGCACAGTGACAGTCATTTGCCTGCCAGATGCAGACCCGATCCCTACCCAATGGCACGAATCAGTCGCCAGGGTCAGCAAGATGGGCACGTGCCGGAGCAAACACGGAAACGCACGGCTGCCACGGCGACCCACCGCAGGCACGCGCAACCTGTGGGGGCGCGCCCAGCCTCACCCCGCCGCCCGCCCGCCGCCCGACTCCAATTCCAGCGTCTCCCTGGCCTTCACGCTGCCACGGTGCTTCCATTCCGCTTCCCATTCAGAGCAGCGCAAACCGGAAAGTCAGTCCCCATTCCCCGTGAGCCCAGCCTGGGTGGGAGCCGGCGGGCGGCAGGGTCAAACAACGCTTCTTCTCAGACGGGAGAGACGCAGTTCTCAAGACCTTCCTCCACCTGCTCCCGCTCCCCTCCCTGCCCCCCGCCCACGGGACAGCTGCAGAAATCCAGCCGAGAAATTGAGGGTTTGTTCTACCAGCATGTTTTTCTCATTAAAAACAATCACTGCGCAATGTCTTTCTATCTGGTCATTTTTTTCACAGTCTCATATAAAACAAGGGGCACATATGTAAGGTGTCCATGGGTTCGATAATTCCACAAGCTCCGAGATTCCCTTTCAAGAGTCACCGGCCGCCCAGGGAGATTATTTATTTATGTTATCTCTGAGGACGAGGGTGGTCGGGCAAACGGGCCGTGTAAACAGAAGGCCGGGGGCCTCTCTGCACCACTCGAGAGGACAAGGGCACAAATAATTCAAGTGTAATCACCCCCCCCCCACTCGCCAGCAGTTTCCTCTCCCCCCTTGTGGTTATTCTCGGGCAACCGTCGTCTGAAAACATGAAAATGGAAAATTCCACCTCCCTTGGTCGCATCACGCAGGCACGGTGTCATCTCGCCTCATCCCGAGAAGGGTGAGTCCAGGACAGCGGGAGATTTGGAGAGGGAGAGAGAGGCACCGTGTTGACACAACTTTCATTACAACGTGTTACTGATGGTTCTGTGGGATTGCTCGTGACTGTTGCTCTCTGACTGTGCCTCACTTACAAGTTGAGCCTTATCACAGGCATGTAACGTGTAGGAAAAAGCATAGCGTGGATAGGGTTCGGTACCGTCCGGGCCCAGGCAACCCCTGGGGTCCTGGGTCGCATTCCCCGTGGATACCGGGGGACGGCTGTAAGGATTCCAAATTGTCCGTCCCTAGCTTTTCAGAGCAAGGTTTCTTTAACACTTTCTGCTAATCAGCAAGCCTTTGTTCATTTAGTTTCATAGCCATCATATCTATTTAAAAACTATTTTCCACATCCCCCCCTTTGAGAGCGCCCCTCTCTGTGTAATTTCCCACCTTCTCTATAAAGCCTTGGCTATTTTCAACACTCCTGCCTGGAACCATCTAACTCTGTCTCGTTTTAAAGATTTTATTTATTTATTTTTAGAGAGAGGGGAAGGGAGGGGAAAAGAGACGGAGGGAAACATCAATGTGTGGTTGCCTCTCACACGCCCCCCACTGGGGACCTGGCCCACAACCCAGGCAGGTGCCCTGACCTGGGAGCGAACCCCCAACCCTTTGCTTATTAGCAGGACGATGTTCCAACCCACTGAACCAGGCTGGTTAGGGCTAACTTCATATGTTTCCCTATTCCATTACGTTTGCAATTCTTTTTTAGTCCTAATGTGTGCAATATAAAGCATCAGCTTTCGATACCAAAACCTTTTTTTTTTTTAAATCTACATTGGACTTGAATTCACCTTAAAAATGCTGGCCGAACCCCACCTGTGTGTTTTTACTAAAGTTATCGGCATCCGAGAGCATTCTGCAAGCTGTAATGAAGCACTTGCTAAAATAACAGGGTCCGCGCGAGAGAGGAGAGCCGCACGACCAAGCCTTCCCGGCCCAGAGAAGCCAGGGCCTGCCTGTGCGGGAGCCCGGCCCTGGGCGGCGGGATCAGCCCAGAGAAGCCAGGGCCTGCCTGCGCGGGAGCCCCGCCCTGGGCGCGGGAATGCAGGCGGGGACGCAGGCGTGGCGGTGCCTCCCCCTGCGGCCCGGCCCGGGCCTCCGGGATCACCGAGGCATGAACCTTTCTGACAGAAGCTAAAAGGAAATTCGAAACAGATGAAAAACTAATCAACCCACTTACATTCTTGCCTAAAATGTGGAAAACTTAATGGAAAAAAAATTCCACATCTTTAAAAAAATAGTCTTTGCGACTTGGGGAGGGCGCCAGCCCCCAGGGGGAGGGCCTGCACCCCCTTCCCAGTTGATGTCACATGACAGCAGTTCAGAAGACCCCCCTCTGCCCCGTTAAAAATCATTAGGATCCCCCCAAAAACTTTTGTTTACGTGGGTTGCAGCTGCCAGTATTTGCGCTCTTAAAAATGGAAGAGTGGTATTTTTATTTAAATTCATTTAAAAAGACCATAAATTCATTACATGTTAACGTCAATGACAACTTTCTTTTTCCCAAAACAAAACTAAAAACTGGAAAGTAAAAAACCAGTGAAAAGCGTGGCGTCGACTGGTGTCTCTGCAAACCCCTTTGACGTCTGGTCCCGAGGAAGACACCTGGGTGGTCGGTCGCGGGGGCTGCCGTGTCCAGTGTGTTGTGTGACCCCTCCCTCGGGCCGAGGACCACGGGAGAACGCTCCACACAGCTACGCAGTTAGAAGACAGAGGAGAAGTTCAACAGCCTTCTTCTTAGGTAATGGCGGGCACTCTCACTCGATGCCGCATCAAAACCCGACCAATACTGGTCACTCACAGGCTAGTGGCAAAGTGCGACCTGACACCCTGGCAACGAGTCTTTCATACTCGGTTACCGTGAAGGGCGCCAGGCTGCCGTGCACTTTGAATGGGTCCTTGGCCTGTGTCGATTGTAAGACACACGCGCTGGTCGTTTAAGGAATATTACTTCATTAACATACCGTGTTCTGCAGCCCATAACGTGCTCCCGTGTGTAATGCCCACCCACGAGTGGCGTGCATCGTACACGGGATTATCACACCCACTGTTACCCCCCCCCATGGCATGCAATCACCACACCCACGTATACCCCGTGCATTCTTATTTTTCCCTCAAAAAATGCGGGCAAAAAAAGTGCGCACTATACGCAGCAAAACACAGCACGCAGGTTTCCCAAGTGTTAGCAGCTACACTTCATTGTGAAATACTTAAAAAATCGCATTTGTTTGTATCACTACTCATGTCGTCTCATCTGATGAGTCAAACTATGTGCACACTGCCACGCTCACAGTGGCAGATACATATTCTCCAAAACTCCGGCTTTCCCTTAAAAGCTAGAAGTCGAGCACGGGCAACAAACATCGTGAGTGGTTTCCTTGTGGGGACGGGCTCCCTTCATTCATTTTGAGAGAGTGTCTGCCAGATTCTCGAGGGCCTGCCTGTCAACCTTAGTCTGAGGCACAAATGGTGTCCCACGTAAAAAAAGGGGGCTAGTTCCGCTCGCAGCGCAGTCGGTGGGGGATCTGGGGAAGCGCCAGGTGCTGCAGGCACGATCCCCATCTGGTCACACACGCTGTCAAGAAGATACACCCGAGGGTTAAGACGAATGCAAAACGCCAAAGGTCGCAGAAAAACAAAACGAAAAA